AGAAATTTCATTGCCCAGTGCAATAGCACGTATAACAATTTTTCTGTCTAAGATTTGATTTATAACATTTTCCTTCTTTTGTGATTCCAATTTCTTTTGTACTCTTACTGACTTCAGGAAGGTAATTACCCTCCCTAAGTGTAGAAAGACGACCTTAGTTGACGAGATTGTGATTATCTCCTATCTCTGAACTATTTTCATGTCATTTTGCTATTGATTCACTCCCCTAAATATCTAATCAATTTTACATATTCAATTTAAGATTCAGGAAAATAAAAAATTCTGTTTAATAAAAATAATAAATTAAAAAAAATCACATTTTAAGCAATTTCCGCGCAAGTCAAGACATATTGAGAAATTCGCGGATTTTAGGAAAAAAGATGACAATTTCGCGGAAATCATCGCGGAAATTCGCGCCGCGACAAACCTGCAGCCCTAACCATATGATACAGGGTCTTGCATATATCAGACCAACGATAATATGAAGCTCTAATCGTACTTAAGGTTCTGTTAAAATTTAACATGAATGACTAAAAACGAGTTAACGAGTAAGATATAAATTATAACTCAGATGTTGCAGTAATGGTTGGTTGCTCCTTTCATGCACTTTCTACAGTGCTAAGGTAAAATATCTTCAGTGGTAGACGGATCACGGGTTACAATCCCCAAGCCATCTGGCTAACTGGAGATTTTTGAGGTTTTCCTTTCCCTAAAACAAAAATGCAGGTTTGTTCCATCAAAAAGTGAAGGTTGGTTTGTCCCAATGTGTGACCCAGGAGTTTCCTTTCTTCTGGATTGGATACAAAATTACAAGACTACAGAGTTGAATAACGACAGTAATGAACTCATAATCGCCCAACAACCCTCATAAAAAATAAAACTAAGATGCTGATAATAAAAATTAATGAAAATATAAATATTTTTATTCGGTTATAAAATATAATAATAAGCATTCGAATACAACATTACTAGGCAAATTATAATAACAAATTTCTTAGCATACAGAAGGGAAAAGATAAAAAATTAAAATCTTCATTTCTTTCTATTTTTACTAATATTGAGAAAACAGAATTTGTTACCAGTAACTCCTCTACAAGCGTATTTTACACATTAAAAATCACAAATTCTCCACAATAAAATAGTCAAGTGTGTTCTGACACTTTGTATTTTAAATAAAAATTAAATATTGTGCATTCTTGAAACTTCCCTGAACTTTTTTCTGTTTCTCACTAGAGGTCACTAGAGGGTTTTTAGTCCTAAGCAGGATAAAAATTATTTATAAAAATTTAGCTTACCATTTTGATATAGAAGAGATAGAGAACTATTTAGAGATAACTTGAATATCACCTCAAGGACCATGGCAAGGATTTAAACAACAAAATGGAAATGTTTGTGATTTAAAATTTGATAATGCTGTAAAATCATGGGAAGTGCAAAAGAAAAAAATATCTATCAAAATTTTTATGTAATTGAAATATTTTATTAAATTTTCTATTTTATTTATTATTATTTTTCCTTCAAAAAATGTCAAATATGATAAATTTTTAAAAAAAAATCGGTCTCTGTAATTTAAAATATAATTGTTTTTCACTCCTCTGAAGAGAATTTCATCATACCAAAAAGAGTCAAGGAGAGAAATCCCAGCTACACCTCTGTTTGTTACTAATACAGCAAAGGTTATGGTTGAAATTGGTTACAATCTGATACTCTTGAAGATGGCTGAGCTAGTAATTTATTAATATAGAGTACAATTGAAACAAAAGCAATACATTTTCTTTTCTTTATTTTTATAATTTCATTAATATTTAAGAAAGAATTAATAATTAAGAGACCTTTTGTTAATCCACAGACACTATGTTATTTTAATGCATGCTACAGTACGGAACCGATTATCCGGAACGATCGGGACCATCGATATTCTTGATAACTGATTTTTTCGGTTTTCTGAATCGCTACAAAAAGTCATTTTTTTATATAGTTAAACCCAACTAAAAAAAAATTATAATAATTGGAAATAACCTTAAAAAGAAGAAAAAACGATGAAGTAATACACTACTGATTATTTCCAAAATGATGGTAAGGTAAATATCTTTCAAAAAAGAACGAAAAATCCTAAAATCTTGTGAGGAAAAAAAAATTTTTTTTTTTTTAAATGACGAGAAAACTAATCGAATTTCGTTCCGGTTTTTTGGTTTTCCAGTTTTCTGATTTCCGGATAACGGGTTCTGTACTGTACAACGTTTGCACTGAACCATTCAATTCAATGTAGCAAGCAAAATTTTGACAGTTGATTTAGAAAAAGCTTCAAAGAAATTATTTAAACCAATATTTCGTTTGATATTACCTCACAATAATTTTGACACCTTGAATTTCCTTCAAAGAAAGGGAGAGTGACATGACCCCCTATATTCTTGTCCTAAGTCGAGTAAATTTCATTTATAATCTGTGAAACTTTCTTTTCAAATAATACAATGAATTTATTAATCATTTTTTTCTCGTTTGAAAATTTTATTTACTCCTTCTGTGAAGTCCCTTTGTATGATTTATTTTCGAGTTAAAACATATGGTTTTTACAGTTATTATGACAAATAATATTTATCAAAAACGGCAGCTCCAAGCCAGATTATTATTTGTACAGCATTTTTAACATAGGAAGGTTAAATTTAAACATTACTTTTAGGTATGTATTAATATAGAAAGAAAGTTGCATTATCAGCAATTTTTAGGTTAGACCCTTATTCAACTAAAACAGAATCGGGTCAAACAACTGGTATCTGTTCGAATAATTTGAAAAATGTTTCCAGATTTAACAGAAACATTTTGAATTTAAGTTGTCACAATGACAGCACAATAACTAGGCTTCCAAAGCTAATTTTGATAGAAGTGTTTCTGACAAATCATTAAGAAGATATTCTGCGTATAATGAAAGATAAAAAGGACTTGAAGATAAAACTTGGTTATGCGTTACAAACACTCTGCAACAATATTATGTAAATAAAACAGGGATTAAACAATGAGATACCAGTTTATAAGTAAGAGATGCAAATGTTCCCTTTTTATACTGGACAACAAGGGTGGCTAAATGGAATATCATCAACTATATATATATTAACTAACATTTGACTAAAAATGATAGGAACTGAAAACTTTAAAAAATAAAAAAAATTGTAGCTTATTTTAAATAAACTAAGATGGTACAATTCTTTAATAAATACATAGAATATATAATTTTTTGACATCAAATTTGTTACATTTTCTGTCAATAACCAAACTAAATAAAGCAGATTATTTTTAAAAAAATGAGGAAAAAAAAAAACCTTCATAAAAATTTAATATATATAATATTTTGCCTTATTTCAACCTAACCAGAAGTGTAAATATTTCACAAATCAGATATTTAACCAATAAACACAGACATAAATTACTATAGGGAAAAAAAAAATAGAGATTGACTAGAAAATGAAGACTTTTTACTTACTTTCTGAATATAATCTACAATTTTATGCTGAATTTCCAAATCTAGAGATTTTATTATTTCAATGAAATGCTCTTTTCTTTCACACTGGACAGCACATCCGAGTATTAATAACAACAAAACTTCCATCTCATTGACACTAGATTCTACAAAAAAAAAAAAAAAAAAAAAAAAAAAAAAANAAAAAAAAAAAAAAAAAAAAAACATAAATTGCAAAACTAGAAGCTAATTAATATTTTATTTTGTACACGAATAAAAACATACAGCTGTTAGAGTCATAAGTAGTAGACACATAAAAATATTACATACTGTCCATGGCTCTAAAAAAAATATTAGTATGGACGCAAAAATAGTAAATTTCTAATTTTTGACACTCTTCTTAGTCAGTGTCATCAATTTTAATCAAGAATGAAATTTAATATATATTTTTTGTGAGTAAACATCACTAATTATTTTTTAATGTTCTATAGCTCAGGGGATAAGCTGATGACTCAGGGGATAGAGTGTTCTCCTTCTAATGAGGTAAACCGGGTTCAAATCCCAGCAATGGTTGATCAATACGAATTCTGCACCCAGCTGACACCGACCACAGTGCTGATGTAAAATATCCTTAATGGTAGATGGATCATATGTTAGAGTCCCTTCACCATTAGGCTAACTGTGGGAAGTTTCCTTCTCCATGTAGCGCAAATGTGGGTTTGTTTCATCAAAAAGTTCCACACAAAGGCAAATTTCTCTCAATATTTGATCCAGGAGTTCCCTTGTCTTCTGGATTGGGTGCAAAATTACAAAAACATTAGTAGTCGTAAACCCTAAGTCGGGTTGGCTGTTCAACAACGGTTATAAAATAAAATAATGTTTAATAGCCATTCCAGGGGAGTCTTGAAGCATTTCTATTTTATAAGGTGAAGCATTTCTATTTTATAAAGTTAATGAACTTTTTACATTTCAATTAAATTTCAAATGATAAATTCTTCAAAAAATAAAAGCAAGCTTAGTCTTATTTTCTTATAGCATTAAATACTATAAATTGGTATAAAAATTAATGGTATGTATAGATTTTTACTCACTATCATCATGCAGTTTTGCTAATGTTAATATATCTGGAATTTTTATTAACAACAGTTGCCCCAAAACATCCTAAAAAGAAAATTAAAAATTTAGCTAACATCAAAACACAAAAAAGGCTATATTCAGTTATATTAAATATAGTCTTTTTTTATATAACTGTTCTAAAATTTTTTATTTAAAGCAAAATTACAATGTACCATAACAAAATTACAATGTATCGTAGCAAAATTTCTTCTTACTTTCAAAACTAATACAAATATATCTTAAAAATACAAGGAATAGAAAAGCATGGAGGTAAATTTTGTTCATTTTTATTTATAAAATAAATATACTGAGAATACAGAGAATAATCATTAAAAAAATGATTATATTTCTTAGAAAAAGTAATCATTTTAATTTTTGAAAATATTTTCCATAGGGCTAAACTTTTTAGCAATTTTGAATTCAATGTATTATTATAATACATTAGTTTCATTCTTAAATTTAAGCAATGACTATTTTTCTGGTAACATGTGAATTACACAAAAGCATTTATGATAGTTTTTTTTTTTTTCCTCATCCATTTCTATTTTTGTAAGACACATGCCATTTCAAAGAAATATTACATTTTAATAAACCGAATGAAAGATCCAGGCTTCATAAAACTTCAACTAAATTGCAAAATTTAAAAGAAAAGTTTTTATTTCACCAATTAAAACATGTGATTTAAAGTGAAAGTTTTTTTTTATATTACACGATTTATATTTTATTAGTTAATTAAAGAGAGGTTTAAGCATTTTTCTATTACTCCTTGTAATTAATTTTCATAATTACGACAGCTCATATCATTAAAATTTAAAGTAAAATAAAAATAAATTTTACTTTTTATAATAATTTAGACAATCAATTAAAAAAAAAATACAATTTTAAATTCATACCAATACCAATTTTTTAAAATTTTAAACAACAAAATCATGACAAAACAAACTTAAAGGCAGTAAAAAATTTTAATCAAACATATATATATCAGGGTTGGCAGGCAAATTTTTGCCGCAGGTGGAAAAAACCATGGTA